CCATGTCACGAATTTCTCTTTTGATAAAGGAACTGCTTTGCGAAAGGTTAAAAAAAGCTTTTCTTAGAGGAAGCGTTACTGCAAATGATTAAACCGAAGATTTAAACAAACTATGTTGTGAAATGGTAGAGACAGGAGCACATTTCAGACCTCGGGGAGGTTTGTTTAGGTTGCCTCAAACGCCTTTGATGACTAAGAACGAGTTTCGAACTTCTGTGCCAGCCATTTGGCCGATTGGTCTATTGTGCGTGGTGTTCAAGTGTATTCTTTTCTCAACAATATAAAAGCCCATCTGCGCAAACCGCGAAAGATACGAAGGTTAAAATAAAAAGAAATCAATAACTTGGTCCTTTCGTGTAACAAGCGGATATTACTGTTCAGTTAAAAACAGAATATGTTAAGCTAGATTTTCGGTAAAGACGAATAAACGAATACTTGAAAAATCTATTGTTTGGTTTCTTTTCGTCACACTCTTTGCACTTTTTCCGTTTAGCTAATGTTTTATGAGTTTTTTTTTTTTTTGGTTGCGCCTTTTTTAATTTCTGTTCTCAGTCCAGCTACTTCTTTTAGATAAATATTATAATAGGAAGCGATTCAAATTTTCTTTTTGTTGACACTAAACATTTAACGTCCAGGAAAATTATGACAAGAGTAAAATTCCTGTCAAAAAAGCCTTCTGAATTGACACAAAATGTACATTGGACGAGTATATATCCGGTCTTGGAAATTCCAGCGGCGAGTAGTTTTATATTCCGAGGGTGCGGAGCCCAGACGATAGCAAGAAGATAATTAAAAGTTGTTTTTACCTTGATTTGGTAGATCTGTGCGCTTGTTATATGGATTGGGATAAGGCGCCGGGCGATGACTCCTGATTCCCAAACGATCATATGGCGAGGAAGGAATGTGGGCATACGGCCTCGAATGATGATGATGCTGGTACACTGGCGAAGGGCCAGCGCAAAACCAACCGTCTGAAAAAAAAAGATATAATTTGAGAAAAACCTCAATATCAACAAATCGTTGAAACGTACAAGATCTAAAACAGAAAAAAA